CAGGCTCTAAGGGAAAGACACCAAGCCTGTCAAAGTATTTGTTTTTTTTCATACTTGCTTTTTTTCCCCTGGCAGTTGGATGAACTGAACTTGTTTACAAAGGGGACAAATAAACCACTAGAGCTAGCTGAAGGCAGAAGGTGAGCAGCAGTGAACTGTTACACCAGCTCAGACAGCCTAAGTATGGACTCTTGCTTCACAAACACCATTAAACCCACCAAAGCTGATTTCACCTGCTTCAGAGTTCCCAGATTGTAGCAATGGAAACAGGGCACTGATGCAACCAAAATCCACTCAGGCAGTGGCCAAATTCCACCCTCTAACAAGCAAAATATCAAAGGACAGGCCAAAGAGGTGCCTGGTGAGGAATATTATGCCATGTATGCAGTGAGGACTGTGATCATCTTTGGGACCCAAGGGTTTGCATTACCCCACCTTGGATGAGGCTGCTGGTATAGGTTATAGGTTTTGTATATTTGGCAGTTAAGGTTGGGTTTTAGCTAATGATCGACTTCTTAGTCTTGTGCTTTTTTTTTCCATTCTGCTTAAAAAAATAATGATTCTTAGGTAAGAGGTCATTCTTACACCAAGGACAAAATCCAGTAAGTTGGAAAAACACAAATAACCCCTAAATATTTCAACACATCCTCCAATATATGCACGCACCAAAATACACTTCTGTACTATTTAGACCTTTGAAATGGCTAATTTCTGTAATTTTTTCTATTTATTTTCAGTGGAATCACAGCAGCAGGATTTGCTATTGATGGCAAGGAGGTAAGTCTGTGCAAGACTGAAGAGTAAGATGCAAAAAGTCCCCCCTCCTTTATCGAACTTCTAACTGGTATTAGTTTAGTGCATTTCATAAACCTTATATGGAAGAGACACATAACCAACACAGCAAAAGGGAAAAGAAAGAATCCACAGAACAGATTGTGGAGGAAAAGGGAATGAATGCACAGGGTGCATTGCTGCCAGAAAAGGAAATTCTCCCTTGCCCACGCCCCTCTCGATGCTTCCCCTACCCCTTTAACATCTGGAATTAGATTGTGGAGAGTCCCCAAGTGCCAAACCTGGCACAAATGAAGGAACCTTGTCATTGGCAGCTCACTCCATGTTGTTGAGGGGTAGACTGCACGATCCTGCTGAATTAGTGAGCTCTCATACTGTGTTTTTTAAACAAAATGCCTCTTATCTTATGACTAAGTGTACATTACTTAGCATCAGCCTGCTACAAGGAGAGAGCTAGCCCCGAAACTAGGAGAGCAGCAGATTAACTCTAATAAAGATTAAGGCTATTGGGGGATATATATTTCATTTCTAGCTTCATTCTGTTCAGTGCTTCAGAATTCATCTGGATATTTATCTGTATGACCACACATGCCTCCCTTCCTTTTTTTTTTCACCGAGTATCTCTCAAACATCAGGACCTGGCTGTAAAAGCAACTCCAAAGCCAGCACTGCTGTACTGGAGCATAACGATGGCTGATCTGAGAAAAATACAGCAATTAACTGGGGTCAGAATTTGTAATAAATGCAAGACTATTTCTTACCTATGAATGGCCAGCAGTTCAAAACACTTGAGATTCAGACTTCTTCAGTGCTAGACATTAAAGGCAGTGATTGAGAAAAACAAGGCAGGCACCCAAACCCCTTAGAGGATTACAGCAGGACTGTCAGGACCACAGAAACAAAGTGTCTCATGCTGCAGGGACCTGTTGCATTGGGCATAAATTTCAGGGGTTTGGCAGCAGGTGGCTGCACGGGTGATCTGTGTGGGAAGAGGCCAGGAACTGCTCTGCAGCACTCCTAACCATTTCCAACCTGCTCTAAAATCCTAAACAACCCATTACACCAAAAAGGCACTAAATCAGAGGAGTATGCAGTGCCTCTCCTCAGACATACTTGAGAACAGGCAGCAGTTGTCAGGACACGTGATCTGGGAAGGAGGAGCTCCATGCCAGAGCAGGGACCATTTTTTGAGTAAGTTAAAAACAGTCATCAGACTCGAGAAATTGATTGTAAAATGAGGCTGAACAGACTTAAAAAATAAACTCTTTCTCCTCATCTGTTTTGAAAATGGAAAGTTTACTTCTTACGTGCTTATCATGACTGGAAAGACTGAGTGTCACTAGCATGAAAACAGTCAATATCTCTACCTTAAAGAACACTTTAATTAATGAAGGAATATACTTGACTGCATGGGTAAGACAGAAAACAACCCAAGCAAAGGTAAGGATTAAACAGAAACAGATCTATTTTGAAGGAAGGCTTCCAGCACAATGGTTGAGGCAGCAAGAGGAAAAGTGAATGATTTGCAACTGGTTGCCTGTTGTAACCTTCTCAAAAAGCATCTCAGAACAGATCATTTATTTATGAGAAACCCACCATTACTGGAGAGATGCAGACAAAGAAAAAAAAACAATTCACATTTTTGGCTTGGTGTGCTGTTGATGCTTTCAATGAAATTTCAGGTTTTGTTTTGTTTTTTAAACGTAAAAACTGCTTTGAAGTATTTTGTTACAAGTTTCCCAGAACGGAGTTAAAGTCTATAGATCATCAATGAGGTTCAAAAAAAAGTACACATTTAAAACATTTGCTAACTTTGATGACTAGCACACGCACTTCAGCAACGTAGATTGGTGCTTTGCTCTCTTTCAAACACGTACAGTGGAAAAGTATCTCATTACAAGCAAAGAAAGGCCAGAAGATGGGTTTCATAACAGCAACAGATAAAACAATCCAGCAAGATTACTTCCTCTGCTGAGTAGCAGCTGGTCAACTCTTCACCAGCCTCAACTTCTACAGGCCTCAGCTTCCCCCCATGCCTAAATTGTAATTCTTTTGAGTGACGTTAGTTTTAAACCCAACTGGAAGACAGTATTTGGTAGTCTCTCTAAAAACAGGGGCATGGAGGGGAACAGTTACGGCCAGACATGTGTTTATGTGAATCTTTAATTATAGTTATGCCATTACAGACAACTCCAGTTTTCAGTTGCTTTTCCCCCTTTTGGTTTAACCTTCTCCATCATAGCTGTCTTCTGGACTAACTATTTTTTCAATATTATGTGTTTTTAATTAGACTCAAACCAGTTTGAGTATGAAAATTAAATAGCACTTAATATAGGTAATATTATCATACAAGAATAAACTCGGAGAACACTAGCAATAAGAAAACGAAAGTATCTTTTTTCCTAATGACAGTGAGAGTCAGATCTGCAGAAGTGACCTCTATGAACAGAGGTAAATGCAAGCCCACAACCACTTATGCTATTGGCATCTATGAAAGATCCTTGGCCCTGGCAGTGGCAGAAGGACCTGTTTTTTCCCGTCTGTGTCTAAGAAAGGGGTTAGTGTATGAGAGGGAGAAGGAAAGAGTGTGTCTGCAAGACTGGCTGTCTGGTTATGCTCTTGGTAACTGTCGTGCAAACAACGCAATTCAACAAACAGCCTAAATTCCGGTAACTTGCTTCAATTTAACAGAACAGTGGTTGTGCGGAGTGAAGCTTCAACCTTGCAGTTGGCAGACAACTGGAAATACAGATTCCTTTTTTTTTTTACTTGTTTCCTCCATGGAACATGCATCCTTTCCGTAGAAGGCTCCAATTGCTCATTTTAAGATAAGGCCATCAGTTATTTTTGTTTTTAAACACTAACAATATTAACACTCAAAATTAGGTAAATGCAAATGCTAGAAAACAAGCTGTAGTCAAGAAGACAAATTAAAATTTTTTAAAGTCTGGGGGCGTATGTTATTAAAACTTCTCAGAACATGTAACACTTTGTGGCCCAAAGCGATCCCCCTCAAAACCAGCAAATTTAAAACTGTTTACAGGAAGCTTTGCCTAACAGGAGGAAACAAACCACCACAGTTTTAATTCTTATTCCACCACATGTCTGTGTTTCTGTTGATCTACTCTGCAACAGAGCTTTTAAACATCTGAAGGATTGTCTTTTGCTTATTCTTAGGTAATGAACAAATATCATTTGTGTCACTGGTATTAACCACACAATTCAAAACTTTTCCTTCCTTGATGCTGGGTGGTTTCATTCGGACTCTGGTAGGGGACTGCCAGTTTTCATTGCAAGAACCTTTCCGAGTCTTGCGGTGATTTGTTTCAGCCTGTTTTTTTGGTACCTTTGAGTCTTTTGCCATCTTAGAACTTCCCTTTCTAGCAGGAGAGTCTTTCACAGACTGAGGTGGTTTGGTGCGAAGAAGGTACTCATCTGGGGAGCCCTTTTGTCGATTCAGTGTCCTTTCCTCCTTGTTTATCTGTTTTTGTAGCTGCAGAGCCAGAAGCCTGTCCTGCTCCTCTTGCATACGCCTTTCATAGAACTCCTGCTCAAAGGCTTTCTGTATTTGCAAGTTAAAATCATTTATCTGCTCCCCTTGGTCCTCTAAACTTTCTGGAAAAGTTCTTCTCCTCTTATCAAGCACGCACAAGTCAAGCACTGCTTCAGCTGGTGGCTCCAGCAACTTTCTTTTTGGAGTCTCCTTAGTGTTCTGCAGTCTCTCTGGTTTCTCTTCATCTGAGTGTCTAGCCACCTTCATGAGATCACATATTACACTTTTGCTGCCAGACATCACAGAATTTGTTGCTGACTGAATACAGGTACAAGTTTCAGCAGAGTTTGGAAGGTTTATGCTTTCTACATGTGTTAAACAGCCACTGTCTGACTCAATTTCATCATCTCCTTTGGATCTATGAAGAACTGTTCCAGATCCTTCCCCTTTTGTGATTCCATGAAGTGCATCTGGAACTTTGTCTCCTAGACAATTTGGTCCTGGTGTTTTTTCCTGCTTGGCAGTGGCCGTTTCTTCTGAAGCTGAGGCACTGAAATAGTTCATGCATGATTCCAAAAATGAGTCCTTAGCACTGGCATCTTTAATCACACCAGTCAGCTGTGGAGACAGCGTTGGCATTTCCTCTTGCTCGTCTTGCCACACAGAACTGCTGCCTTCATTGCTATTGGTCTCCTGCAGAAAAGGGAAAGACCACTAATAAAATAAATTTATCAAAAGCCAATGGGTGTGAATAAAATGCAAATCTCACTTCTCATAGCTGCACTGCTCACAACTACTCTGGGATATTAACTTGGATTCTTCTCTTTGAAAAAAATACATAATTGTTTAATAATTATGAAAATATTTAAAACAACCCACAGAAGCCTAGCTAAAGGACTGAAAACACAACTGCAGCATTCTCCTCTTAATCAATGACTCAAACCAACTGTTCAAGCCTGCTCACCTTCTGTTGAAGCCTAACAGGAAAGGTAGGACAGACAGACATGTGGAATGATGAAAATCAGTGTGCAACCTCCTCCAGTGAGCTCCAGAACCATCATTTTAGTTTTACACACTGTCGGTTGCAACCCAGAGCTTGCTGAAGACGTTCAGGTAAGGTACTTGTAAGGCTATACAGGGTAACTATGGAAGTAAGCCGTAGGTGTGCATCTACAGACTGTCAAGCATGGTTTCTTCTCTTTCTGCTTTGGGGAACCACAAATACGGAAGGTAGTTCAAAAAGGGCAGGATAAACTGCCCAGCGCTGATGTGCAAGGGGAATATAGGATTAGCAATCCTATAGGCAAGGGGAAAAATAACCCATAATTACTAACACTGAGATTTATAACAAAATGATTCTAGTTACCACAGAGTCAGAGTCACTCCTGCCTCTTCCTGCTGTTCTGGAGAATGATGCTGATCCCAATGGATGATGAAGCTTTGGAGACAGATACCTTAAAAGGAAAAAAAAAAGTATACCTTTTAAAACTTTTTTTCTTGAATTGTCAGTCCTTTGCATTAATCAATATCTTCAGGTTCATTCTGACAAACAAAAACAAAAGAAGGGCAAGTGTTTCCCTTCTCCTCCATACTACCCTATGCAGAGATGTTTTAACATTCAACAGTTTACATTTGCCCCAGATTACCCAGGGAAGTCGGACTACAGGATTCCAAGGAAGCAAATGGAGCAGAGGGACACTACACCAAGAAACAGACCAATAATTAAAGAAGAAAACCTTGAACTACTTACTTCTGAATGTCTCCAGGGCTGCTTGGTTTGTTCCTTGTCTTGCACAAACTAGCTGGGGATGTTTCAGCTGAGAAACTGCCTGCTGGTGAAGGACTGCTGAGCACATGTCCTTTGGAATCGTCATTCTTCGATAACAAGTAAAAATAGCATTATATAAAACAAAACACAACATAAACTGGAGAAAACTTGGAGAACTACTTCGTTTCTGCTGCAGAATTAGTTACTTTTGTCCAAAGAATTCTAGAACTGTAAGTCGTGGATAGTTATGGGATAAGAAATGTCACATGTTGTATGTGCACTTTCCTGTACCTGGCATTAAGGGACAAGAGGTTTTGCTCAAATAAGTACACAGGTTTCATCACTAGGACTATTATCGGGTAACAAAAACCAATCAACCCCCCCAAAATAAATTAACAAAACCAACCAACCAAACCCCAAAACATAAGGTAAACTTTCATTGCATGTTCCTTTTTTTCAGTACACGTTACAAATATCAATTTCTTCCAAAGAAGTATTTTGAAAACCATGCGGAAAAGGAAGTATTCAGAAGAAAACCAGTTTTAAAATGTTTCACAATGAAAACATCCATCACACGTTTCAAGTGCATATTACACAGGTAGAAGTGTTTGGGGTGTTTCACCCTCCCACTGGTTCTTCAAAAATTAATGGTCAATCAAGGATCTGAAGTACTGGGGGCTGACAACAGCTTCTAACTACAATTACAATAAATTATTCAAAATTTTAACTTTTGCTCTGAAAAGTCTAAGTTGTTAGTGCTATATCAAGGTTTTCGACGGCCACCCTTGATCCTAGCTCACCAGACTGTTGCTCAGCTGCCAGGCCAACTCTTCATCTTGCTTCAGCTGTTTCTCCATCTCCCTCCGCCTCTCTTCTGCCAATCTGCGTTCCTCCTCCTCTTCTGCTAGAAGCCGTTGAATGTATTCCTCACTTGCCTTGTTCTCCTCTTGCTCATGTGCTCGCCTTTCTGCCTCCACCTAAAAAAGATGTTTTTAAATGCATCTGGTTACTCCTGTAGGACCACACTTCATGCCAGAACCTCTCAGCTGACGTTCCTTAGATGTGAACGATCCACTATTCACAAAGACACTGCACACTTCAAAGCCAGTATTTAATTACACAAGCCTCCAAAGATGTTACAAACTGATCCTGCATGTAGAGTTTGATAACAGTGACCTACCTTTTGGTTTCTGTAAGACTATACCATTAACCTTGCTTGCCTGCAAGGTTAAATTCCATTACTCAGCTTTTCAAGATGTTAGTAACAGAAACGAAGATCTCCAAATACATGGACCGACACAGAAACTCAGACTAAGATTCTTTACAAGGCTGGATGCCAGCTAGACCACAGAATTTGCTCAACCTGCTTATATCATCGTAACCCCAATATTAGTGCAAGATGCCTAAAAGACAGAACACCTCTGTTCTGGAAGGGCCATTCTGCTCTCTTGAAACATGCAAAACCCAAAGCGGCAGACCAGGAATTTTAAATCTGCCTTCCTTATGGTGGATATCCACTCTTGATAAATCAGTTATGAGTAACTCGCACAAGGACAGCACAGTACTTCAAGAATGAATAAAGCTTTCTTAACTGGGTAATGGAATTTGGAAATCTGCTTTAGAGAAGAGCATCAAGCTGTACTACTACACAAGCTATGTTAAGTCTGAATTTGTTTCAAATCACGTATTAATGTCTTATGACTGGTGACAGACACCATTACTTGTTTCACTGCTTCTGGGCACCATCTCCATCAACCATCAATACTATTGCTGCCAATCAATCCTATCCCCTAACTGCCATAAAAGCAAATCCCCATAGTCCTCTGCTTCACATAGTTCCCCCTGCTCTTGTAACAACCAGCAACAGAAGTGTCAGCGTAAGGAGCATTCTTACAATAATTCTTACTACTACTGTGTCTCAATTGGAGGAAGAAGGATCATTAAATAGGCAAACATTAAGATTTCTTAAAAATCTCTTCTGATTTTTAAATGAACACAGATAACAGGGAGTGAGCAAATAAGAAATAAAATGCTGTATGTTCATTACTGAAGCTCATCTAATTGTGGTCTGTTACTTAAGGAGGGAAATCAAGAAGGCAAGTATAAGACCAAAGCCCAAACAGTTCCAAATTTTTGCATTTGCTAGCCCGAAATACTTTATGTGCATCTGAGGACCTATAAAAGGCATTTTAGTATGTGTGGGCAGGGATGCAGATAGAGAAAGGTGACACTCTAACCCTGAAATAACTCTTCTGCAGAGTTTTCGGAAATACGGGGTATTGACTAAGAGACACCTGCCTGGGCGTTCTGCCATGCTGGCACCTCTATGTGTTTCCTAGCCTGTGAAGCACACCTGCTTGTGGGGACAACAAGGCAACATATGTTACTGGACCGACTGAGAGGGTGAGGTAGGAAGTATAGATCAACCAGCACAAGGAAACTCGGGAAATGTCGCCTCATGTCAAACACAAGGAAGCCTCTCCTCTTCTATAAAAGATACAAATTTAATTCATGCTTCAGGAATGACCAGTGTGTTCTTCCAGCAGCAGTGCCCTTTTAAGTACCTTTCTTTTTCATTAAATAACATTACAGATGTTTGTGGGAACAATTAAAATAACTAGATACAAAGCATTTATGTTATGCTTTTAAATATATTTTTAGACTTACCTTGCTAATCTCTGCTTCATATTCCTGCCTCAGTTCCCCAGGCTTGCTCAGCTGGTGTCGCGGATGGGGGACACAGACTAATTGAGAGGAAGGAGAGAAAAAAAACACAATTGAGGAAGAAAGCAAGATCATGACAGTCAACAATGAAAAATTTTAACAAAAGATGACTTTCATAGCCTGTCACAGGAATGATTTGACTTAAATCAAGTGCCATGAAAAAAAAGCACTTTGTGTTACAAAGGAACAAAATAAAAAAGCACTGTGTTACAGAGTGGCAAAAACAGTCAGTGTTTTCCAAGCACTCTATATAAAGCAAATATGTATGCTGACCATAACTTGCGACTTTCGCTTTTGGTGATTAAAAGACTTCATAATACTGCAAGTGGAACAACATGTCATAGAGCCAACCTACCAATTAGTCTCCCCCAAGGGAGCTTACAACATAATAAACCCTCAAATCCTTCTTCAAAGAGTTAATCAGATTTCACCTCCTTTTCTCTGACACCACAGTTTCAGGCTTAGAGACTCTCGCAAAGACTGAAGCCCTGGCACTTCTAACCAAAATAATTAAGAGCATCTAAGAGTTGAAAAATGCTTAACCACTTCACTTACTTGAAAGCGGTAAACACACACACACAAATACTCCACTTACAGTTTTACAGCTGAAGTTGACCAGTAATGAATTACTGCCTTTGCAAGGACAGGCAGCCATACACCAATGCTTTGTGCAAAACACATGAACAAATATCCACTTAAATGACCAGAAAATATAACTTATCCTCTGTATTACACATGGAAGGGACATGGATGGCCATTTCTCTGCCTTGCAAGTCCCTTTCACAGGTGAGCTCTGACACTGCGTTTTCTAGCAGTAACACAGCCTGTCTACACACAGTTTCTTATTTCACAACATTCAAAGTCCACCAACAGTAATTACTTTGGTAAAGCAGAGACATCCCAGGACAAGTGACATTTTACTTACTTTCCTCTTCCAAATCCTGCCCGTTAATCCTACGCTCACACTCCTTTGGGTAATTCTTCTGAATCTTTTCCCAGAATTCCCAGTTGATAAGAGTATTTCTGCGGGCATTATATCGTGCCCAGGAAGAGACTCGACGCCGACAAAAAGGGCAACAAAGACTGGCCTTTTCAACTGTCAGCTGGAAGCAAGAATTGCAGAGGGTATGGTTGCATGGCAGTGTCACAGGCTCCACAAAGATCTCCATGCAAATTTGGCAGAGGCAGTCAGACAAGGAAAGCGGAGCCTCCAATTTCTGCGACATACTGACTTGAAGTAGAGGAACAAGACTAGTACAACATCAGTACCTGAAAGCAAAAAGAAACATGTTATTTTACTTCCTCTAACAAATATAAAAGAAAATAGAAAATGCTCAGTTTTACAGCTACTTTATGAAAGCATTAGTGGATTTAAGAAGTCTGCTTAAAGTGGTTCCTTCTGCTCACGATCTGAATGGTTCTCGACTTTCAGAGGAACATGCAGGTCTTTCCAGAAGTCATGGAGAAACTGTAGCAGGTTTTCCTACCACAGTTTCCTGTGAGTTATAACAGGTGCTTTGGGGATAGCAAGGAGGTGGTAAGGAGAAGGGGGAAAGAAGGTGAGAGTTCTTCCAGCATTTGGCCTCTATTAGTGATAAGCTATGCTCACGTTTGGTAGATACATTATCACAGTTACCTTAACCTTCCATTCAGTCAATTTTTCAGTACATGCACATCCTTCAAAAGCTGCTTCTGGTACAGACTTGGTTTCACCATGTTCTGAAGGCAAAATACAACATCCCAACACATCAGAGGAGAGGAGGCTCTTCCTCTTTCACTCACTTGCTTAAGCTGGGACTAAAAAGCCAAAACACTTTTCGTTAATATAAGCAAAGAACTAACCAATACATTCAACACTTCAGCATCTTCCTGTATGAATTAAAATGGTGGGGATGATCCAGCCTTTCTATCACCAATGCTCCTCATAGGATTTTTCCACTTGGCCCAGAAATACTGCGGAACAAAGAATAAAAGACACATACAGGAAACAGGATAAAAATACTGGTTTTTTTTAAGTTACAGGAACTTAAGAAAAGTTCTTACAAGCTTCTTAAAAACAGCCAGCTTCACAGAGACAGGAGATCCTTCTGACAGAAAGACTGCAATTTCAGTCACACAGGAACTCGACATGGAGACAAATATACTTTAAGTCGGGCTTTATTGTTTCTGCTCTCCCTTTGTTGATTAAACAAATCCTTTAATTTTTCAAAAAAGGACGCTAGATAACATGGAAACACCCGGTTTTTACAGGGGGTTTGTTAAACAGACCTCAAAAGTCCACGCACACCTCTTCTGGGCCGATTTCAATTTGTACATAGACAGAAAAAAATAACGCGTTCTAAGTCCCGAAGACGGGGGTGCCCGGAGAAGCCGTGGGGCAGCCCCACACACACCACCGCCGGGGCCCGGCTCACAGGGACGCCGTTCCACCGCTACGGAGCCGCCAGCGGGAAGAGGCTGGGCCTTCCCC